GCTGTGGTTCCAGAAATATCTGAATATGTATGATACTTCGAAAATCACAAGTTGAAATGACTTTCGCCAATTGAAACAGCTGTTTAACAATTGTTCAGTGTACACATTTAAAATACTTTTGATTGATTAAATTTTAACAAAATTGAATATTTTTTAAGGTACAAATCTTGAAAATAAAAATTTTTAATTTTTAACGATTTTCTAAGGTCTTCACTACTTGCTTAATAAACTATAATTGACACACTTGAGGCAAGACCTGGTGGCTAATTGAAATCACAGTTATTTCTGCCGTACTCTATATCTGGTAACAAATTTTTCTACAGTGAACTTTTCATACTGAAAATACGAATAAATCGTAATAACGTCTGGTACGTTAACGGATTACTCTTCGAACCATAATTCACAAGGAAGCAACCAAGACCTCTTATTAAACGTCTGTAAAATCTTCACGTGACAGAGAATAATCGATACACGCTATTGGAGGATTAAATTAAAAAACAAACAAAAATTTGCCACTTCCTAGACTTTTACGTATCTCTTCCCTGATTCGACGCACGAGTCGATCATGGTCGACGGTTATTTTCGACTGCGGCCAATGCAGCGTTACCCGTCCATTGAATTAGCCCCAGGCGATAATTCAATGGCCGGTAGAATTTTGCCCTCTTTTGCCGTGAATTAATGCATTTATCTCCGCGAGATCTTCAAGCCTGGCAATTTATTTCACGCGAAGCAACCGCGTGGCGCGCCGCGATCAACCGGCGAAATTGCACAATAATCGCCGGCACACCCTGCATTATCCCACAATTATATACCTCATAAATAATTATATTTTTCTGTGGTACTGTGACCGACATACGCCGTCGCCGCGGAAACACTTGAGCTCCGCGAACAGGCATAGGGGAAAAGTGTGCGTGAAAAATGGAGAACACCTCGACACGACTACTTTCCGTCCGGGATCGTTCGATACTTTTTCTCCAAACGAGTTGATGTCATCTCTATACTCTCCGTTCACGCGGCTTCAACGCACAATCACAGACAGAGTGTGTAGAACAGGAAAACGAGCGAGATCGACGCCGGCACAGTGGATACACGAAGCGGTCACGTCGGATTTCGCGCGCAAAAAGCTCGATTCAAGTAGCGCGACAGTGCTTTACACGGTCGAGTGGGCTTTCTTATGTCATTCGACAAATCGTAAAATCACGGCTGAGAGAGATACGGTAGCGGGATAATAGCGTGCGTCATTGGCGTGTAAACGATTCGATTTAACGGAGAAGAAAGGAGGAACAATTGATTCTTCAATTTAACCCCTTAACCTATCGTTTCTTTTCCGACTATGCGCGTAAGCGTCGGCCGTTTAATGCTTTAGTGCCGTAAGTAACGAAAGTTAACGATTCGCACTCGGAGGTGATTTTGGTGGAGGAAAGTTTGCAAGTCGGATGTTTGAAATTTTTTCAAACTAACGTAGAAAAACAGTGTACTATCTTATTTAAATATTCAATTTTCAATGAAATATTCAAAGCACACTATTTCACTGTGGTGAAGAAATTTATGGAGGCACGTAGATCTGGTCTCTGTCTTCGTGACGATTACTTAGCTTCTCAGTCGCCACTCGATTGCAAAGGGTTCATCCGTTACGGGACAAATGCATTTAGGAATCCTTAATTGTAGAAATGAAAACGAAAGTTGGGACTACGATGAATTTTCTGAACTAATGTACCTACTTTTCACACATCCTGACCAGAATCTCTGCCACGAGTCTGACACGTTGTTGTAGGTTAAAGGGTTGAACGTTTTAACTCGTAGATTTTGGAATTGTTTTGGTGATTGTGCGGGTTGTAGAGATGTTCCGCGAGATATTTACGTTGCGGAAGTTCTAAACGCTCTAGAGATAGCACCGATAGTTCTAACCGCTCTAAAGAGTTCAGTAAACGCCTATGAACGTCCGTAACGTTCGCACATTTCACTGCTTCACGCAAGTGAACACACGGTGGTACCGTGTCGCAAACGTCGAGGAGATGTTGTGAGAAGCAGCAGTCGCGGCGCCTCGACGAGCTTGCGACTTTCATAAATGCATAATGATCGCGAGTGTCGTAAAATCCGTCGACTCTTAAACTGTTAACCGGGCTCACCTTTTGAGCAGAAATTCAACCTCCCTAATTTACGACAAAAAATCCGAAATTCTAACCAATTACTTCATTACGGTTCCCGTGAATTATGCGAATTGTTGGGAAAATGTGTTTTAAATAAACTGCTTCAGCTTTTAATACTTGGATATTTTATTCCTCTACGCATCGGAAGTGACTTCCTTCTGTTATTAATGTCTTGAGAGGACTGACTCTCAGAGCCGGTGACACGAGGCACCGATGACCTCATCTAACAGGGGGTGCGTTATCACCTTACTCGCATAAACAGTGTGAGAAACGGTATCTCCGTTCATCAAGAGAATAAGAGATTAGTTTTTGTTTGGTTTACGAGTAAAACTAATTTTATATTTAACCCGTTCATTGCCGTTGGCCACCTGCAGGCGCTTTAAATTTTCCCGCCTTTTTCGCGCACTTTGATCTTGATTTCATTCGAAATTTTGTCCGCTACGTATTTTCGAATTAACTTAATGAGACAAATTTTGAAATGTTACGGCTGAAACGGAAGATTTTGCAACCTTGGTTGAACGTGTACTGTGTGCAACGCGCGTTACGTATTAAAATCTGAATACCGTGGGGGTCATATTTGCAAAATTTCATATTTAAATAGTTCTATTCTATTTATAACTGTTGACATATTATTTATGCATACTGGGATGTTGTATTTAAAAAAGAATTCATCCGAGTTACGTAGAATTGGTCCGGCATTCAACGTGCACAAAAGTGCAATTAAAGATGAAAAATCTCTCAATAAATGAGCTATTGTGTTCGAAATAGTTGTAGACCAGTGACGAGTTCGTTCTTCTTCCCCAGTCAACAGGTTTCTCTTTTAATTATTCTGCAATTCAATTTTTTTGCCACAGTAGAAATTTTAACGCAGTATGAAGAGTGGAAAAGGTAATTTGTAAAATTTCACTTATCGGGCGATTATGGGATTACGAACGTTAACGGGTTAACTATCGAAATTTCGCCGAACAATCGTAAAAATCGTGGTACCCGAAGAAGCTCGAATCGCGTGCATAAGTAGGTGTACGACAAGGAGGAAATCTCTGGTCTCTCCAGCGGTGTATCGGAACAGGGGCCTGCCGCTGCCTCGTCTTTCATCAAGGATGCCGCGAGAAAGAGGAGGACAGAGACTCGTTGCAACAACGTTTCAGCATTCCACCGCTGGTGAGATTCCATCGTGCCGTAATTTGGGCGGCGTGCACCATAAAATCGCCGGTTTCTCTCCGCACGACCGCGATGAGAACCGTGTGCAACTCGGAGTCACTCCTCTCTGGCCATTGTCACGCGCACCCAATGCACATGGCGCGCACGGGAAGCGATCGTTGCTAGAGAGATGCGTGCATTTCGCCCGGGCGAAATGTTTAGTATTCCTTGCGAGGGCAGAGCCGGGGCTTTCAATTTGCGGCCAACAATTTGTCCGACGGTTGCAGCCTGCAATATGCAGCCCCCGTGATATACACTCTATCTCTCGGCTATTGCTCGGTTTCTCTACCCAGTTTTCGCGAATCCGACTTCCTATCGTCGAACCGTTAATTCCGGGTGGATTATACGGATGGTTTGAACGAAGTGGGCTCTTTTTCTTTTTCGAGGGATGTGTTGGTAGTTGGAGGAAAGTTGAGGAGTTCGGGAGAAAGATGAATAGGATAGTTCGTGGATTTCGGGATTTTGGCAGAGTGGGTTAGAATTCAGGGAAAGATGTGGTATAACGAGAATAAAATTGGACACATTGTAGACAGATTGAGGATCGAAGAATGTTGGCTTCGTAGAAGAAGGACCAATTTCACATTTCTTCAGTGGAGAAATGGCCAAAGATGATTTTCAGGGGTGAATACATTAATTTTTCCTGGGAAAGAATGCTCATAATCTATACTCTGTTTTTATTAAAATAAAGTTACATAAAAATCCAGTCTACAAAAATTAATTTCACCTGCAGATAATTTATGAACATTTAATGTTCTCAAAAAAGTTCAGAAACCTACGATAAAAAGGAAGAGTACGAAATTTTCGATCCTGTATAGTTTGTTTTTTAAATATTGAAAACTTTACTTTCCCCCCCTGAAATCTCTTCACTTATGTGTTTTAGAAGAGATCTAAAAAAATGTATATCCATTCTCGAGTTTTTCTCAAGTATTTCACACCGCGTATAATATTAATATATTGTATATCTAATGGAAATTTATTTCCGTCAGACAGACAAATTAAATTGTAGATGCGTCGGGTAATTAGATTAGAAATCGTGATTATGGGCGATTTCAAATTACCTCGAATTAACTGGTTTTCTGCCAATTTCTTTTTTGTCTCCAACTTTACTTGCGAACAACTCTGCTTACTTAATGTCCGCTAATATTTCAGACCAGTATTGTAACTACCACAACTTACTGTAACATAAATCTATTATTAATTTCCATGGCAGTATGTTAGATCTGATATTTTGTAAACACATTCTTGTTTCTTTTTGTATAATTGTGTTACCGCCGTCGTAAGGATACTCATCACATATAGTATTAATATATTGTATTTGTAATGGAAATTAATCTCCGTCGATGAATTTAAATAAATAAATAACAGGTCACAGTCAATTCTGCACAGCTGCAAACACTTAAACACCGCAACAAAATATCACTTCCACCCATAAAACACATCAAACCGATAATTTTCACCTGGCATCTCGCAGTTGGTATAAAATAATGAATTTACTCGTTCATTATCCCCCCACAAAAAACCCACACTTAATCTACCGCAAATTCATTGGAACGAATTTATCACGTGTCCCAGTTGACCAATTTCCAGTACAACTGGTTAACATTTTATCCATCGAACGAAATTCAGAAAATTTGCATATCTCTTGTTCAGGTGTTAGCCACTCTGGCCCTATCCATGGGAACGTTGTCCTCGGGTCTAGCAAAGGGTTACACCTCGCCAGCCTTGGACTCTATATTGGACAACCAACCGCCTCACCTTTATCAGTCCACAAACAACGACACCTGGTAAGCATTCTTTTTTCTCGTTCGTCGATTTATAATTGCAATTTAGGTAGCAAACTAGATTTTGACACCTAGACGGTGGCAGACTCGGCGTGTAACACGGTTACGCAGAGTGCAAACCGGAAAGGTGAAACTTCTCGATGTGGTGTAATTGTAAGTTATACGCGAATCGTGTCCGGTAAGCGATTACCGTCGGTCGGTAGATAAGAGAATTAAATAAACCCGAGATACGAGATATTCAGCTGGTGGAAGGGGTTGAAATGTAATAAAGCGCGGGCGAATATCTTAGATAATTCACTTAACAAATGCATTAACGTCACTCCGTTCCTTTTCGAGTCAGTTGTCGCGCGTGAGACTTTCTCCGCGATAGTGGCGTTCAGCCTTTTATCGCGCTGCGCTATAAAGGAAGCACGCCACATAAAGTAGCGAGAAACCGAGCGTGGCTCGTTACTTATACACACCGCTTGTAATATTCTATAGATTCATTTTTTTTTTCCCCTCCTTTCTGTAACGTCGAGCAATTTACGACGAGCAATTTGCTTTTGAATTTACCGAACCACGATCTGGCCGAGACTGGTGAGCTGTGTTCATGATCGAAAGATTGTGCGTAGATTGTGAAAAGTATGGAGTTATTTATTAGGTGCCATTTCCCACGTGTCGATACCTGGTGAATGATTTTTAGCCGAGGTTGTCTGGTGAGACTGGAATTATCCGAGCAGTCGAAATTACTGGTTTCTAACGCAGGGTGGTTGGAAAAATTGTGGTATTTAGACGGAGGATTTTTTTGCTTGCGAAAGAAAAGGGGATAAATTATTGTATGTCCTTCTCAAATGTGAAAACATTTTTGAAGACTTGATGGACTCAAAATTCCCATACAGAAAGAGAATTCCTAGGTGCCTGATAAATGGAAAAAAGGCATTCGAAATAATGGAGATTATTTAAGATTAACATTCAATATTTTAAATAATATTTAAAATAACCTCCGTTGCTTTGAAAATTAAAACTCTGCTCAATTTTTTGCAGGTGAACACTGAAATTTGCGAAGGAAAAGAGTTCATCGACCTCGAAGGGTTAATTAACGATATGTTACGTTACCAGTACTTGCATATAAATACCGAAATGATTTCGAAACACCCTGTATTTTTCCCCCAAAAAAATTCTCGATTTCGCGATACTTCGATTTGATTGAAGCCACAATCTCGAGACAGAGTACAACGAACCTATACTAGGCTATCCTTGAACCGGTTACGAAGATCGATCGCGTTCACCGGCTTAATCGCGCCGCACAGGGTGTAACGTTGGCCTGGTATTAGGGAACGATTAGGTCCTAGCATAACGTTAGTCTCTGTCATCCGTAATCGTATTGCCATTTGTCGCAGGTCGGCTTTCTCGGTGACGCAACAAGAAGCCTCGTGGGTTGCTTCGTTGTCGATGCTGGGCGCGTGGTTCGGCGCTATGATCGGCGATTGGATAATGAGACGAGGTCGTAGATTGGCGCTACGAGTCACATCTTTGCCCCTCGCTGTCGTTTGGATCCTGACAGGCATCGCGCCCTGCGTCGAATTGGTCTACGTCACTAGCTTCATCGGAGGACTTTGCTGCTCGGTGATCACCATGGTTGCCCAGGTAATTTTTTACAAACATTTCGTCTATCAAATCGATCTAGAAGTTCTCTGTGTTCCCGAAACTGGGACTCGTGTGTTTGAAGAAGTTGAGAGAAAGAATTGTTGAAGATAATTTAGACGTTCGTTATGACTGAGACACCCGGTATATTGCAAGAAACTGGATAGAGAATTTAACCGTAAAGAAATGATCCATGTTCGAAAATTGAGACTCGAATATTTGAAGAAATTCAGAAAAAAAAATATCAAAGATAATTTAGACGTTCGTTATGACTGAGACACCCGGTATATTGCAAGAAACTGGATAGAGAATTTAACCGTAAAGAAATGATCCATGTTCGAAAATTGAGACTCGAATGTTCGAAGAAATTCCGAAAAAGAAATATCAAAGATAATTTAGACGTCCGTTATGAATGAGACACCCGGTATATTGCAAGAAACTGGATAGAGAATTTAACCGTAAAGAAATGATCCATGTTCGAAAATTGAGACTCGAATATTTGAAGAAATTCCGAAAAAGAAATATCAAAGATAATTTAGACGTCCGTTATGAATGAGACACCCGGTATATTGCAAGAAACTGGATAGAGAATTTAACCGTAAAGAAATGATCCATGTTCGAAAATTGAGACTCGAATGTTCGAAGAAGTTCAGAGACAGCAACGTAAAAGATAATTTAGACGTTCATTGCGAATGAGACACCCGGTGCATTCCAAAAGACTACCTAAAAAAATGTAACCACAAACAAACCGATGTATATGTTAAAAGTCGCGCGACAAAAATACAGAAATTTTTCTGAGATCAACCGAAGAATTTACGTTGATACCAAACGAACGTCCCCCCGCAAATGAATGTTTCACTCTTCAGGTATACATATCAGAAATCTCGATGCCTGGAATCAGGGGCTGCCTGTCGGCGATGCTGAAGGTGCTCGGTCACGTCGGCGTATTATTGTCGTACATAGCTGGCACGTACCTGAACTGGCGGCAAAGTGCACTCCTGGTAGCCGTGGCGCCGTCGATGCTCTTTTTGGGTACACTCTTTATACCCGAGACACCGTCGTACCTCGTACTGAATGGCAAAGACGACGAAGCTGCCAGCAGTTTGCAATGGTTACGCGGTGATCACGTCGACATACGCCACGAACTACAGGTAATTCTCCTCGATACTTCTATCTCGAACTACGTTACTTTGTAACCCGACAACGATTCAACAACGAACCCTCGACTCTGTCCAACTACGTTCCAGGTGATCAAGACGAACATTCTAGCCTCCAGAGCGAAACAGTACGAGTTGACGTTCAAGAACAGCATGTTCACGCCGAGATTGTACAAGCCTATAGCTATCACGTGCGGACTGATGTTCTTTCAGCGATTTTCCGGGGCGAACGCGTTCAATTATTACGCGGTGATCATATTCCGACAGACTCTAGGCGGAATGAATCCTCACGGAGCTACCATTGCGATTGGCTTCGTGCAATTATTGGCTTCTCTGTTATCGGGTAGGTTAAACGCGGGCCGTGCAGGGCATTGATGTTGGTCATGAGGTTGGAATTATTTCTGAAACGTCGATTACGTCTATGTGTTGACAGGATTCCTGATCGACATCGTCGGCAGGCTACCGTTGCTGATAGCCAGCACGGTGTTCATGTCCCTCGCGTTGGCTGGTTTCGGCAGTTATGCTTATTACATGTCACAGACGCAAAATCTCGGCTATCCAGACTCGGCCGTAGTCGGCCAACACGACTGGATACCGTTGCTCTGCGTTCTCGTCTTCACGACCGCCCTGGCTCTGGGCATATCGCCAATTTCGTGGTTATTGATTGGCGAGCTCTTCCCCCTGGAGTATCGCGGCCTCGGCTCGAGCATCAGCACCAGCTTCAGCTACTTCTGCGCGTTCGTTGGGATTAAGCTCTTCATGGATTTTCAGCAGGTGAGACTGGTGTAGCTTAATCGCGCGATATCAAACTACTCTCTCTCTCTGTTAGAGCGTAAGGTACAGTCTAAGGAAGAAATACTTCTTCCACCGACTGTACTCTTATCTCGAATCTACGCTTCGAATACATTATCAATTGAAGGAAAAGGCGAAGAAAATTGAACGGCAATTCGTTAAATCTGACAATGTTACACCGGAAACTAGCGAAACGTCAACCTCTCACTTAAGTCCTTGCTCATTCGGACGTGTAAAAATTCGCTACCATTCCCTTCGCGTCTCCCATATTTCTGTCGTAACGTTCCAATAAAGCTTCGCACATTTCCTTCTTATCTCGCAAAGTCTATCCTCGACAATTCTCTAACGATTGCGCAATACGTTCCAGACGTTCGGTCTGCACGGAGCTTTCTGGTTCTACGCGGCAGTGGCCGTGTGCGGCCTCTGCTTCGTCGTCTGCTGCGTGCCGGAGACCAAGGGGAAGCAGCTGGACGAGATGAACCCAGACTACGCTCAGGCACGGTAGTATAAGGCCTCGTTAACAGGGGGGCTGTCGAACCTCGAAAAGGCCAACAAACCTCTGCCGGGAGGAGCCTATCCGAACCAACACGATCCGCGGGAGCTGTACAACGCGAATCAAGACGTGCCCACGACTTCTCGTCAAACCTCCAACTACCGCAATCATCGGAAGCTCTCGGATTACTGCAACATATTCGCGGAGAAGACGAACCGGATCGGTCGTAACGTGGAGAATTTCATGCAGTCCCGCGGATTCTTCGCGACTCGTCGCTCCGCCGACGAGGCGTCGCGCTGCAACCTAGCCAGCCTTCGCAGCAACGGGAACGTGATCAGGACCGATTATCGCCGATACACGAACGAAATGGACGAGCCAACGGAGACTCGAGCGGAGGATCAGCGTCGTTACGGTCGAAATCGTCGAGACAGACCCGTCTATCCCGCGGACGTGTATCCGCGCGGGAGAAACACCGTGGCGAATTACGTGGCCCGCGACATGGAGCTTCAGCCGAGGCGCGTTAGGCAGCGCGACTACCTGTACGAGGCGAACAGTAGCTGGAGGGAGGCTCTGAACGATTGGAACGGGTCTAAGCCGATTCTGAGGAACGGCGTTAGTCACGGGCGCGGAGGAGAGAGGCTTTACAGCTCGACTCTGCCCAGACGAAGCAGAACCATCAATTTCAGGGATCAGTACTCCCTCGAATCGCGGCGCGGCTATCCCAAGAGCCTGCAGGACTTGTCCGATCTGGAGCTGGACGAGAGGATACGCGAGCAAAGTCTCACAGCCTCGTTTCTCTCGTCGAACAGCAGAGACTGGAGGGAGCACAGGCTGTCGAACGACGGTTATCGTCGACGGAGGTACAGGGAGGACCAATTGGAGCACGATTACCTCAGGCTGTACAGAAGTTTGTCCAGGTTGAACAAGTATCCGCAAGGTGGTAAATACGAGCCTGGCCAGGTGCACTACGAGAGGGAATGCAGGACATTCGGCAAAGACACGGTAGCTTTCATCTATTACAAGACTTGTTACTTGTGATGCAGGAGGAAACGTGAGAGGCTCGATGGTAAAGATTACTACTGCTCGTGGGTATTTTTGTTGGTGGAAGGATTGTGTGTTTCGAGGGTTTGCCGAACGGTTGGAGGATTTGTGA